TAAAAACTACTGATTAATGAAAAAAAAAAAAAAAAAAAAATTTTAACTTACAAACAGCACAGGCTTTGGTTTTGTGTTTTGTTTTTCAAATCATTTCCTCCAATTCACTGCAGGTGTAATTTCTGTCATCCTACAGCAGCCCTCCCCCACCTCCAAAAGAAAAGGTAAGACAGACAGTGAAACAACAGCGTCCTCAGAGTTATCAACCTGCTCTCTTCCATGATCATAGGGCTTTCGTGAGCTAAATATCCTGGTGACTTTTGGCGTAGCCTTAATCGTAAAGTTAGGTGCAATTCTCTTGAGCACCGCTAGTACACCTTAAAGCAACAGAGAGTGTCCTTGAACTCAGACTTTCCTAAAGATGCCATTTTCTGAAAGTACCAAATGGAAGGGAGCTCCTCTCTTACATGCCAAATCAACAAAGAATTCCTGTTTTGCCTTAATTATTTATTATTTCTTCCTTTCTTCCTTTCCTCCAGGTTCTCTCCTGATATGAACAGACTTCTGACTTTATAGGCAGAGACACAGGCTCCAGGCCCTGGACTTCCCTCATACCAGTCTGGGCTTTCTGTTATCACCTTTGACCTCTTCCTTGGGTGCAGTTTTCTCACTGACTTCAGACTCAGGTTCTGGTCACCTAAATGTTGATTGATTGATTGATTGATACCCTTTTCCAGCAACTCAGAGAAACTTTCTCTAGAATCCTCATCCCCCAGTATAGGAGTGAGAGTGGTCAGAGAGTTGTAAACATCCTGTCCTTCAAGACATGGTTTACCGCAGGTCTCCAATTTGGGTAGTTTTACTGCAAATTCAACAGCTTTGCTTCAAAGCCTTCCTGAAAAATGCTTGGGAACCTAGGGGTCAGGTTCACAAGCCAAATTTTGCTGATCCAAAGAATCTAAATGAATCTGGGCAAGGTAACCAAAGTCTTAAATGGTAGATACTCCAGGACGAGTAAGGATATCAAATATTTGACACTTTGCTGGGTACTAATGTCGGTCCATCGACTGTTTTTCTACTCTAAGTACTCCTGTGGCCTGGAGAAGTGAACCCCTATGACTTTCAGCAGTTCCCCAAAAGGGATGTTAGGTAGACATAAAAGTAATACAGAAAATAATTAACTTTCACTCCTTGTATTTTCAGCATGTATACACACTTTTCTTCTGTTCATGTGATTTAAAAAATACTCTCTTGTGGCATAATTTAATTACTCCACATACAACCAAGAGAGGCAACATACAAACATTTCCAGATACCATAGTTGGATGTGAGGTCATAGGACCTCTTTATAGTTCAAGTTCTCCCAGTGATATCTCTTCTTTCTCTAGTCCTGACATTATCTCAACTTGGTATTCTATAATTCCATGATCTAAAATGTTGATTCACCACCCCCACGCTATCTTATTTGTAATACTAAAGAAAGAAGAGGCGAGAAAACTTAAAAAAAAAAAAACAAAGACAACAAGCAGGGAGCTACAAGTAGAGGGTACAGTCTT